GTCAGCCGCTGGTCAGTTTCAGCAGCGGCTGAATCTGGATGCCAGTTCCGACTTACATACAGATTCAACTTAAGAACAAACCTACAGTCCCTATCTTGTACGTAACCCGGGAACTGCCTGTATTTGTGTGTGGAGTGGAGGATGAGGTCTTTTACATGGGAAAAACTTATTTCCAACACTAGTTATTTTAGTAATTCAAGTGATTTAGTTTAAACATTTTCAAACATTCACTTTTGGACAGCGCTCAAGAGTGGAAAGTGAATGATTCACAAGTTCATAACCATGAGAGAAGAGGGTTTTAACTCCAGTGAGTACAAACTAGCACTTTCTATATTTTTTTCATGTAATATTTAAATATGCCTACATTTATGTTTCCATTAGTATTTTCAATTTCAAACCCACATTTATTGTAGGCTGAGTGAAGGAAATTTCCAAATTTAATATTTGAACCCTTCCTTTCCTACTGGGAGACATTAGATGTCACTAGTCATGAATTTAAACTATTCAAATATTCTTTTTGCAACACAATTTTGAAACACACACACACACACACACACACAGCAGAGCCCACTAATCAATCTTCTCATGGGGAATGTTCTTTTTAATTTCTTCCATTTATGCATGGAATAAGTTTTGTTATGTGCACCAAAACAGTTAAGATGTGCACTGCAAATAGAAATACATGCTGCTGCCTGTGGACTGCTGCAGACCTTCTACCAATCAACTGGGCAACACCTGAATCTCTCCTGCACAGTCACCAAAGTACTCAGATTACAGGGAAACACTGCTCACTGGACTACGCCCTACATAGCAACTCTGAGAAGTTTTGTATACCTATCATTTAAAAATAAACAGTTCATTTTTTTAAACTTATAGTAATATTTTTATTGGCTCTGAGGACAATACACAACATAAAATATGAACTGTGAGATGGGGAGTATAGATAATGAAGACAGGAAAAGGAAAGTAAGTTCCTGATAGGCTGAGAGTTGGTTCTATTGAGCAATTACATTTTTATAAAGTAAAAAAACACATATAGATAAAAATATTTTAAATATACAAATATCAATCAATCAGTACTTGTATTTTATATAACACTTGGCAAATATTGAAGTAATTCTTGCAATTTTCTGTAAGTCTTAATGCAAAGTTATTTTTATTGTTACCTTTGAAGCCTCTGTACAAGCTGCGACACCATGGTATCTGAAATACCCGGACAAGCCTCCTCAGCTAAATAAATAGCTTCTCTCAGTTCTTCTATAGACCCCATGTTGTCACCATATGCCTGACTTTTCTCTTTCAACTAAAAAATTGCAAAACTGCATTAACAATGTAAATATCTGAAAAATATCATTTATCATGATGTGTCAATTTCTAAATTTCTACAGAACTAGACTCCAGAGAATTAGTACATTCTTTTCTTCTTACTTTGATCATAAAAGTCTAGCTATAGTAATACATTCCTTGTCATTTGAGATTTTCATCACAGGTTACTAAAGAACATTCTAAGCCTCCACAAAAACAAAGTGATCACATGGGATAGGGAAACTAGGGAGGTAAGATTAAACAGAAGCCCTGCAGGGAGTGTGCAGCCCTATGCTCCCTGCAGGGCTTCCTTTTGAAATGTACAAGAGCCCCACTGGCAGGACTTGCATACTTCAAAGTCTAAGACGCTGCAGGGAGCACAGGGCCAGCAGGAGAGTCCCCCACTGGCCCTACAGAGCTTCAGCTTTTGAAATGTACAAGAGCCCCACTCAGGCTCTTGTACATTTCAAAGGCTCAGGTGCCACAGGGAATGGCAAGGCTAGTCCCCCACTAGCCCTGCACTCCCTGCTGGGCTTCCACTTTTGAACTGTAGCAAGAGCCTGGCAGGGCTCTAGCTACAGTTCAACGGCAGAGGTGCCCTTAACTAATCCAATAGCCAATAGAAATCCCATTGACTATTCAATTAATCAATCTAAATTTAATATCCCTAGTATGGTATTGCCACCTTTACTTCTGCACTGCTGCCAACAGACCTTGAGCCCTTAGATAGCAGCCACCACTTTCTGGCTACCCAGTTCTGAAAGCAGCAGTGTAGAAGAAAGGGTGACATGTGCATTGTATCACTATCCTTACTTCTAAATTGCTGCTGGCAGGGTTATGCCTTCAGAGCTGGACTCCTTGCCAACATTACAATCACTGCATTCCAGTTGCCCAGCTCTAAAGGCAATGCACAAGTAAGGGTGGCAATACTGTGATCCTCCTAAAATAATCCTATGATCCCTTGCAATTCCCTTTTGGGTCAGGACCCCCAATTTGAGAAACACTGGTACCCCCACCCCAACATCAATATAGTAAAAGCACACAAAAGGCCAGATTCCTGGGAGGACACCAGATTTCATGATCCGTGACACATTTTGCATGGCTGTGAAATTGATAGGGCCCTAAACATAGCAGGAGTCAACACAGCTTAGGTCAATTTACCTCAGTGTCTACACTGCACCGTGTAGATGGGAGATGCATGCCTATCAACTTATCTTACTCTTCTCATTCGTGTGGAATCAACTGGAGAGCACTCATTAGGGCACCTAAAATCAACCCTTGCTGCATCGATCCGCAGTTAATGTAGACATAGCCTAAGATTCAATCCCTGACCTGAAATATTTACTGCAAATTTTGCACTACTCTTTGTACTTTCAGAACACCTTCCATATGAGGATTTCACAGCATTTGAAACATGTTAGTTCACTGAGCAAAGTGAGGTCTAACACTGAACTTAATGACATTTTATTTGTCTGTTACATAATAATTTTGAACATTGTCGCTGATAGATTCCAAAATATAAGTGAATGTTCCAGATTTCACTGGATAGAATCATACTTATTTTAGTGAAAATCAAACCACTGGAAAAAAGCCTAAGGAAGTGGAAAATCAGATACCCCATATTTCCAGATGCTGTAGGATGTAATCTGCTGCTGCATACACATATGAAAAACAGCAGTTTAACTTGCTGCATTGAGAATGTTGATGCGTGTAGTCTATAGCACTAACCTATAAGCCAGGCCTGCACAACATGCGGCCCAAGGGCCGCATGCGGCCCGCAGGGTCTCAGTGTGCGGCCCGTGCCGACTACGGGCGGCATGGCCCCATCTGATCCACCAGCCGGGCAGAGGAGCAGAGTGCCGCCAGGGAGAAGGAAGTGCGGCGATTCTTGCTACTGGGCTACCTGCATGCAGCTCCGGTGCGAAGAGGCGGAACGCCGGCAGACGCCAGGACACTGGCATAAAGTGGCATCGTGATGTCACAGCCGGCGACCGCCGGATTAAAAAAGGCTCTGGCAGCCCCGCAACCTGGAAGGCAGGGAGGGGAAGGGGCTTGTGCTGAGGGGAGGGGGGCAGGCAGGAGAAAGGGGAAGGCACCAAGGGGAAGGGTGCAGGAGAGAGAAATGCCAGGGGGCCAAATGGAGACACGCGTGGTGTTTCCCCCCTCCCTCCCCTCGACAAAAATTTTTAGTCCGCATGTTCGGTATTTTTTGGGAGAGCATCCCTACTTGCAGCCCACAGCTGTTTTCTTTGGCGTAATATGGCCCTCACGGCTTTCCGAGTTGTGCAGGCCTGCTATAAGCTTTTGCTAAACGGTTAATCGGATATCCTACTACATTCCTAGTGCCTTCTCCTTTCTTCTCCTGCCTTGGCCCCCTCCACTCCCCTCAGCACAAGCCTCTCCCTTTCTTCAACCTCCCCTTCCCTTTAGTTATTTAGTTTGTTATCCTCCTACCCCTTAACATGGCAAGTGGCTGCCCTGTGCTCTGGGGCTGGAGCCAGGGCTGCTCCTAGGGTGGGCAGTCACCCACCATGTGGCCCTACCTCTGGGAGCAGCTGTGTAGCTCAGCTGAGGGGGTGGGAGGAATGAAATTCTTTGTATGTGCCCATGCAGGTGCGCACCTTACAGGGAACTCTGTCCCAGAGGAAAGGTAGAAATGGGATGGGGAAACTGCAGTTCTGGAAAAAGGAGGAAACAAATACACACTGCCCCTGTGCTATGGAAGGAATGGGATGAAACACAGTCCCTGAACATGGGAGATGGATGGGAGCAGACAAAACCCCTGGCATGAGAGATGTGGTGATGGAAGCAGCATGTAGCCCCTGACAAAGGGGCAAAGGAGGATGAAGGGAAGAATGCCAGGAGCTTTCGCTGTGTGCAATTCACACAGACTACACAAGACATGAAGCATTCACTGCTTCCCTACCCCCCAAGTAAATTTAAGACTCAGCATCTTCATTGGAAAGGAAAATTCTATTTACCACATTTAAAATGAAGATGACATGCTGACTCTCCACTGAGTCTGAATAATCTCTGGAGCAGAGATCACCCTGAGTAAAAAGTCTCAGAGGTGGCCAGTTTAGTATGTATTTGCAAAAACAAGGAGAAGCCCTGTGGCACCTCACAGACTAACAAATTTATTAGTGCATAAGCTTTCGTGGGTAAAACCCACTTCACCAGATGATTTGGAATTGAAATTACAGGGGCAAGTATGTATATATTACATGAACAACAAAAGAAATTACTTGTCAAGTGTAGGACCAGTGTCAATGAGGCTAATCAAGTCAGGATAGATATGTCTCATTCACAGCATTTAATGCAGAGATGTAAATATCAAGAGGGAGAAATGGCCTTTGCAGTATGTTAACCCGTTAAGCTCCTTATTCAATCTTACAATGAATCAATCCTAAATTGAATAAATCAAATTAGAAAAATGAGGAGCTGAATTCAGGTTAGACAGAAAGACTCAATAATAGGAAAAATTGGTGTATTGCAGTCTAGACCAGGAAGGGCAATAATTTTTGGTGGAGGGGCCACTCCAAGATTTTGGAAAGTAGTTGAGGACCACACTTTTCTGTGGAGGGGGTGTGAGGCCTAGGATGGAGGTTGGGTGCAGAAGGGGGTACAGGGTAAGGGACTGGGGTGCAGGAGACAGCGTGAGGTCTGAGAGGGAGTTTGGGTGAAAGAGAGGGTTGTGACTGGGTCAGGGATTGGGATGTAGGACCAGGGAGGCACTATGGTTGCAGGAGAGGATTCTGGCCTGGGGGAGGGGAATAGAAGGGGATGCAGGGTTTTGGAGGGAGTTGTGACCTATGGTGAGGGTGTGGAGAGCATTTGGCTGGTGGCCTGGGGGAGGGAGTTGGGGTGCAGGAGGGCCAGGGGTGCCAGAGGTAGGTTTTGGCTAGGAGTTGCTTACATAAGTGTCTCCTGGCCTGCAACACCCCCAAGGCAGGTTGGGTTCCCCGCCTGCTGCAGCCCAAGACTGCTTAAAACTGCAAGCTGTTCCCTCCAACGTGGCTCTCAGCTCTGGGAGGGGAAAGAGGCTTGCACTGCTGCAATCCCCCAAGCCAATCTCTCAGCTCCTATTGGCTAGTTGTTTCCAGCCAATAGGAGCTGAGGATTGGACTGGGGGTGGGGAGATCACACAAAGCTTTCCCCACCCTGCAGAGCAGAGATTCGTAAGGACTGAATTTTAAACTGCGGCAGCTGCATGACTGAGGGTCCCAGGCAGGGTGGGCTGTGGGCTGGATCTGGTGGCTTGGTGGGGTGGGTCCAGCCCCCGGGCTGTATTTTACACAGCCCTGGTCTAGACAGTAACACACACCTCTCATCTTTATTTAATCATCTCCCAGCTTTATAGTCTCTCCTTATTCTCTTCAATTAGTGAAAGTGATGTGGTTGCTATGCACAAATGAGCATTGCTGTAAACTCAAAATGGGAAAAAAATAGAAGAACCAGATGAGATACCAATAAATCAAATAGCTAATGATGAACCACAAGGAAAGTTAACCTATCAATAACAAGTATCCTTGAATACGCAATTCTCCAAAGAGACAGATCAATCATAGAAGTAAGTTTTCAGAGTAAGCTTACCTCCATAAATAAAGGAGATATAATTGCAGATAAACATTGAGAGAAAGGATGTCTGGGGGTATCTTTCCCCTGTAAGAGAAAAAATAGTGACATCTGTAAAAGAGTGCATTAAAATTTACATTGTATCTTTAAAATAACCCTAACTAAGCCTGGGCTATTTGATTTCTGAAAATGCATCTTCATGGTTGTTGCTACACTTCAAAGGTGAAAGCACCACCTGAAGCTCAAGGTCAGCTGGGGACTCCCCCATTGACCCTGGAGAACTCTGTGCGGTGCTGCCACTTGGAAACATCACTTGGAGCCCGGCATCAGGTTCCTCACAGCATTTCAAAGAGTCAGTGCCCCGTGGAGCCCAGGATCAGCTGGGGACTCCCCCACTGACCTCAGGCTCTGTGCAGCGCTGCCACTTTGAAACGCTGCAGGGAACCCAGGGGCACCCCAGCTGGCCCCAGGCTGCACAAAGCGCTGCTGCTTTGAAGTACCTCCTCTTCTTCCCTCCATTGCCACTTTCTGATAGAGACAGCAACGGGGAGGGAAGTGACTAGTCAACTAGTCCTTCACATCTCTAGTTCTAATACACTACATAAAATATGAAAATGAACATTTAAACATGTACATATCAACTAATTCATGTAGTCCATTACATTTTAATACCATCCATCAAAGTATGTGCAAAATGATTACGTGTGTAGATATGAATATTCTATGAAGAATAAGTTAAGATTAGAATTTATATGACAAAATTGCATTACATATTGTTTCTTGACGAACAGCAAAGCTTACTAAAAATTAGAAGGGCCTGACCCCACTCCTATTGTCTTGACACATGTAGATACAAAATGTATAGGTTAAGTCAACCATAATAAAATATTTAAAATCATCATATATATTCACAGAAAATCAAACTACGAAAGTGAAAAAGCAATACAAGATGAAATTATTTTGATAGAAACTGTGTGATATAAACAACAAGTACAAGCCATTGTGGCAAAGCTCCGGTCATGCCCTGCGGGTCCTGTGCTTCTAGGCGGTTATTATATGCCTCAGAGGCTTGCTGTGACCCTCCACGCTGCCTCTTATCTTTTTCTATAGGCCAGAGTCAACAGCTTACTGAGATATTCTAATCACTGGCAGAGTTAAAGGACTGGGGGTATACCCCCTTTTTCCAGGATCAGACTTTTTAGTGGCGTGGGGAGGTTGGTGGGAATCTGAGCCTGCCCACTATTCTAGGTTCCAGCCCAGTGACCCTGGTAGCAGCAACTGACAGGGTTTTTCCTCTAGCCCCAATAGGACGCCTTTTCCCAGGTCCACGTCCCCAACTCCCCTACTACCTTCTCCATGGTACCTAAGTTAATCTTTTCTTTTAGTTCTCAGCTCTAAGCAATACAACCCCTTCTCTCAAGTCTGCCACTTTTCTCCTTCCTCCTCTCTTACCTGGGGGAAGCCTTTTAATGCAGCCCACCGGCCTTAATTGGCTGCAGATGTCTCAGCCTTCCGTCTCAGGCAAGTTCTTAATTAGACTCAAATGCCTTGATTATATGGCAGCAATCTCTGGCAGTTCACTCAGGAAACAAAAAACCATTCACTCAGCTCCCATCATGTCCGCCCTCCATCAAACTATAGTAGCCATCTATACTGAGTTTTTCTAGGGATATTAAATATCAGTTAATTAAATTGTTGATTAACCTCAGGAATTCTTATCGGTTACTCGACTATACTATAATCCTTGGGGGAGGGACCAGCAGCCAGTGTGCTCCGGCCCCACTCCTGAAGAGCCCCCTGCCACTCCGTGCTGCTGCCTATCAGCTGGTTTAAAAACAAGCTTGCCTTGTGGACAAGTTTCCGGTCACCCCACACTGCTGCCTCAGAATTAGCTGCAGCCCCTGCCCGATGGGGTGTCTGAGCTCCTGGACCCAGCGCGAGCCAGAACTGAGTGAGTGCCTGCCCACCTGCCTCCTAACACACTTTAAATGCAGAGCCAACACAGAGGTGGGTCACGGACCCTGTGCAAGCCGGGACTCAGCCAGGTTGCTGACCAGCCTGCTAAAAAATTTACTTGGGGGGAGGGGAGAGGAACATGTGTAGTCTATAGCATTAACCAATAAGCTTTCGCTTATCGGTTAATCAACTACACTATTACATCGCTAGGTCTGTAACACTATATATAAATTTAAAAGGTTTTTGTAGATTTTGAAATATTTAATCTGTCAAAGGAATATCTCAAGTTAAACAAAATTTGAAAAAACATTAGATAACTATACTGGATTAGTAGGTTTACATGTACATCTTTCAAGTATTGCTTTTAGCATTAAACATTAATATAGTACCTTATTACTTCCTAGTTTCTGTGGCTGGGCTTCTCCATTCTCTACATTCTTGGGGTCTTTTTCTCTGATTGTAAAGATCCAGTCCCCAGAATCATGGCCACCTGTGGCCTGGTCATCTGATTCACTTAAAAAAAAATACTAAAACGTTTCAGAATTTTTTCTTTACTTTACTACACAGTAATATTGAATTAGCAATGCCAAGATCATCTTAAAACCTTCACATTTGAGAGTGAATTTAGAACATCATGCTTCTCAGACCAGACAAAGCCAGGCATATGGTAAGAGTGATTAGATTGGGTCTTAAATAAAGATTTTGTTTAAATATTGAAATAAGATATTTTTCTGTATATTAAATAAAGATCAAGCAGAAAGACAAACGTTAGTTTACTACCTCTGACAATAGTTTCCAAAACTATATGACACCAGGGATGTTACTTTTTAGCATTATAACAGATGTGCACAGATGGCTCCAAATTACTGGAAAGCTGAAAAAAGTTTTGGAGTTTGAACATAATTCAGTCTAGTTTCAGAGGGGTAGATCTGTTAGTCTGTTTCAGCAAAAACAATGAAGAGGCACCTTAAAGACTAACAAACTTATTTGTGCATAAGATTTCAAGGGTTGGAATCCACTTTTACAGGTTGAGCCTCCGAAATTCATGACTCTCTGCTCTGGTAACATCCATGGTCCAGCAAGGCCATGGATGTTGTTGGACCAAAAAGCCCCATTTGCAGGAGCCAACTAGGAAAATGTGGGATCTACAGTGTCCCAGCTTGGCCAGCAGTGACTTAGCAGGGGAACCCCGGTGTCAGTGGACCAGACGGCATCAGGGAGCCTCCTCCCCCACCCCAGCCAGGGAACCCCCAGTGTCAGTGGGGTCAGATGGCAGGATAGTCCTTGACAGCAGGGCCGGTAGCAACCAGGGAACTCTTGGAACCCCCCCGGTTGGCAGTGGGGCTGGGATGGCCTAGCAGCTCTGACTGGGAAACCCCAGTGGCAGTAGGGCCAGGCAGCAGCCTGGGAGCTCCAGTTGGGGAACACTGGCAGTGGCCCCAGCAGGGGAATCCCCAGTGGCAGCAGGGTCAGTTTTGCAGCCCCTAGCCAGGGAATCCTGGGAACACTGCCAGGTGGCCCGGAGCTGGGGAATCCCAAGGAACCCCCAGAAACAGCGGGATTGTCAGCAGCTGGGCAGCCCTGGTCGAAACCCAGTGCAGCTGGTGGGCAGCGGGGCAGGGAACCTCAGCCGGGCTAGCTTTAGCAGGGCAGCAGCAGGGCAGGAAGCCCCAGCCGTGGGAGCCCCAATGAGGAGCAGCCAGCAGGGAACAGAATGTGGGAACAAAAATAATGGTGATGAGAAGGAAGCCAGAAAAGAGTAACATGAAAAAGTTTACCCAATTTATCAGGTAAAGTGTGACTAAACTATGAATAAGGCAAAGAAAGAATAATAGTAAACAAATATTTCAAAGGTGTACATACTAAAGAGGAATTATTACAAACAGCTTTGTTAGGCTGTGGCAATTCCATCTTATGGATATTTGATTATGATGAAGTCTCACGTGAAGCCAACCAATGAGGATTCAGCAAACACTATGGGTGAATAAATATACATGAGGTCAGACCTCTGTGAGTACCATAAGCACAGTTACATGTTGGACAGAAAAAACTGCCCATGACCACTGCAAGCTGTTGTATCCTTGCTTTGTACTATTAATATTTTTCAAATAAGATGTTAATATACATCGCTTCAATATCTGTAAACATCGACACAATAAATCTGCCACTTTGCTCTATCGTGGGCTGTTGCTTCTCAGTTGCTGGGATCAACTAGGGATGTTAAAACAGTTAATCGTTAAGCATATGAGTAAGCAGGAGGCTTCCTGGTATGCTTAACAATTAATTTCTCCCTGTTGGTAACCTCTGGCAGTGGCCAGCCCCACCAGCCTGGAGAAGCCCCAGCCAGGGAGGGTCCTGCAGGACCAGAGGCGGGACCAGAAATGGGACTGACATCAAACTTCAAAGCATGTCTTTATATTGTTTGTACTGGCTACTATGAGAAAGGTAAAAAATACCATAAAACACAGACTTGGATATCCTCAAGTCTACTATACCACTAAGATGCCCAGACCAATCAGTTGAGCTTTCATGAGTATACTCTGAATGGCAGATATTAAATGATTAAGGACTGTGATACTGAGAACCTTGTCCAACCATTTGACCATGCAGACAGATTGAAGACATTTGAGACATTTACATTTACACTGAATAAGACATGCAAAAACCCTGCACTTGCAAAGAAACAATGATTTCACTTTGATATTTTTACTTTTGTTTATAAAAACTTGAATATAAAATACAATTAGTTTCTTTAAGTACAAATTATTTGTTTCAAAGTACCTGTCAAATTGCAAAATTTCTAAACTCAAGTTACTTGTTGCCTATTATCTTCTCCTTCCTACCAATCACAAAAAGGAAAAAGATAGTACTTTATTCTGTGCAGGTTCTTTACTGCGATCATAGCAACACCTGAACATCTTCACAATAATACTTGTAGAAAATTTATCCTCCATGAGTTCCCTGATAACATCGGTTCTTGGCTTGTATCTACAGTGCCATCAGAACCAATACTTAGTACCCTCTGTTTATGAGCCAATCCAACTTCCTCCATAGGGCACGGTTGGGCAACCAGGAATGGTGGTTAGAGTACATGAGTAGGCCTCCTTCACCTCAGAGTGCTTCAACAGCCCATGGTCCACTGGGTTTCCATCTATGGCCCCATAGCCCCCAGCTACCCCCACATGTCTCTTGCGTACTGGAACACCGGGGCCCCGCACTTCCTATTTCTCCCCCTTCCCTTCCAGAACTGGAATGTGGCAAGCAATTGATGAACAAAGGAGCAGGGATGGAGCATGAATCAGGTGAAAGTGCTGGGAAGGAAGGAAAAGAGTAGGAAGTGTAGGGCTCCAGTGCTCTTGTGTGCAAGAGATGCATGGGGGGAGAAGAGATATGCTAGGGCATCCACAGGCTGTGGGTGGAACACCAGTGGGCCACAAGTTGACTACCACTGCTTTAGAGAAAGGGAGTCACACCAAAAGGCCCATTTCCTAAGGCATTTTTAAAAGTTAAGACATCAGAAAATGATCTCCCCCCTCTCTATGTCTAAGAACAAAGAAGCAGCTTTCCCTTCACCTTCATGACCTTAAGTATATTCCGACAGCCCTAACGACCCTGTTGCCAATATATGGAACCCTTAATTGTGAACTTTCACACAATAACTGCAAACCACATCCCAAAGACCCCTATCAAATCATTCATCAAAACCAAGAAACATCAGACTTGATTCCTTTTCTAAGACAAGAGATAAACAGAACAATGCCCATCTTCCCTCTCTTTTTAAACAAAATCTCCTTTTAGGAACTCTTTAGACAAGAGCCTCAAAGTGTAAGAGAGTAAAGAAGAAAAAACGACCATCTGCAAGTCCCATTTATCTATAGAACTCTTGATTTCTTCTCAGTTTTTAAAAACACCAGGAATGTGCTTACACATTTTTTGGCTTTTAGTTGCTAACACATACTCTCAATCTTAACTTCAGATTAATAGCGTTGGTTTAATTTAGTCATGTACATAATTTTTTGTACTTTCTAGTACAAAAATGAGTGCATGTTGAGCACTGTAGGACTGAAACAGATTGAGATGCCAGAGCAGATTGAGCAAACTGGCTTCAGCATAAAATAATCACAAAAACATATCCTCCCTCAATCCATTAGATCAGTGGTCCCCAACCTTTTGGGGCTGCCGGGCACCTGGGGACGGGGCCACTCAAGCACCCGAGGTTGGGGCTGCACACGGGCCCAGGGGAGGGGCCACCTGTACGCTGCGTGCCCGGTGCCGGCGCCACCCATGCGCCACACTCCAGGCCTGGCGCCGCTCCTGTGCCACACGCCCAAGGGTGGGACTGCACATACGCCGCGCGCCCGGGGCCAGAACAGCCCATGCGCTGCATGCCCGGGGCCGGCGCTGCTCCTGTGCCATGCGCCCAGGGGCAGGGACGCCCATACGCTGCACGCCCGGGGCCGGCACAGCCCATGCTCCGCGCACCTGGGGGCAGGGCCGGCCCCGATCACTCTGCAGGCACACAGAAATGGTCCGGCGGGCACCATCGTGCCCGCGGGCCCCACGTTGGGGGCCACTGCATTAGATCTTTTATAATAAGCCTTCTTTCACTTTTCTGGGCTTGAAAGCCTTCAAACATTTCAATTAAGTTTTTAATTTCACATGCCTGGTGAGCCCAAACATTTTTAATTGAAGAACAGCAGCTAACTAGACAAAATGATACACAACTACTTGAGAAACTTCTCCTCTATTTCTGTGTTTACAATTATTATGTTATAGACTCAACAAACTTACGCATCCGATTCTTCAGAGCTGGAGCCATCATGACCCTGTTCAGATTTCCACCTCTTGTGCCTATCAATGAGCTCTGTCAGGTAGGATGTTTTCTTTGCATTTCGTATTATGAATTTGTGTTTCAAAAGCTCCTTTGCTGTTGGTCTCTTAAAAATAAAAATTAATTGTAAGCCACAGTCTAACCTTTTTCTCTGTATTTGAAACAGTTGAGATGACACTCATATCATGATTTGAAAAGCGAAAGAAAACTGATGACATAATAGAATCAGAAACTTTGATGGCTTACTACTGAAAACAAAACCAAAAATCTAGGGCTGGAAGGGACCTAGAGAGGTTACACAGTGCAGTCCCCTGCATTAAGGAAGGAGCATGCATCTCTTTAACCATTCCTGACAGGTGTTTGTCTAATCTGGTTTTCAAAACTTCCAATGACAGGCTTAACTTATTTCAGTGTTTAACTATTCTTCAAGTTAGAAAGTTTTTCCTACCATCTAACCTATAACTCCTTCACATGCACTTCATGAACACGTTAGGGGCCATAGAAAGGCAAAAAGGGAGGGCCATAAACTGATAGTGGTCCTTGCCCACCATAAAGAGGTGGAACTGTCTGTGGTGCAGTGCAATAGAAATGTGGAAGTAGGCACCTTTTAGACCGAGGGCTGTATACCAGTCTCTAAGACTTAGGGAGGGGATGACAGACACCAGAGTCACCATCCTCAATTTGACTTTGGTGATGAAGGCTTTGAGTTCCCTGAGATCCAGGATAGGCCGAAATCCTCCTTTGGCCTTGGGAACCGGGAAGTACCTGGAGTAGAAATCCCTGCCCAGGAACTCCTGGGAGACCGCTTCAGCCGTCCCTAGGGTTAGGTGTGGCTGGACCTCCCTCCCAGAGGAGATGCTCATGAGAGGGGTCCCTGAAGAGGGATGGGGTTAGGGGGAGAAGGAGAGATAGAAAGGAAGGGGATGGCATACCCCCCTTCTCCCATTTCCAGGACCCAACGATCTTTGATAATGGATTTCGAGGCCCAGCAAAAAGGGAAAAGGCGGTCTCTGAACAGGAAAGGTGAGGCTGGCAAGCTGTCCCCGGGCACACCCTCAAAACTCTTGGTGAGGACCTGAGGACTTGTTGGATGGGCCCTGACCCGGTCATGAATGGCATCTGCCGTTCTTCCCATTACTATTTCTCCCTCTACGGTGGGAGAAATCAGGGCAGGTGCTGTACAGAGAATGCCGTTGGTTTATCACTGTATGGTTCCCCAGGGACTTTAAGGTGGCCCGGGAATCCTTGAGACACTGCAGGCATTGGTCAGTCTGCTCAGAGAAAAAGGATGGAACCTCAAATAGGAGATCTTGAATAGTGGTCTGGAGCTCGGAGGGTGCTTTGGACACCTGCAGCCAAGACCTGCGACACCAAACCAGCTCCACAGCCATGGTGCAGGCAGCTGCATTGGCTGTATCCAGGGCAGCCTGGAGAGCGGCTTGGGATACCATCCTGCCTTCTTCCAGAAGGGCTCCTAACTTAGGCCAAGAGTCCCTAGGGACCAGTTTGGAGAACTTGCCCATGTTCGCCCAAGTGTTATATGTGTAGCAACTCAGAAGAACCTGCTGGTTCGCTATGCGAAGTTGAAGACCCCCCCTCCAGATGCATAGCGTAGACCTTTCTACCCAGGACGCCCATTTTCTTGGCATCTCTGCTCTTAAGAATGGGGCGTGGCTGACCCTGTCTCTCTCTCTGGTTCATCACCTGAACAACTAGGGACCCCAGAGGTGTATGAGAAAAAGAGGTGTTTGTTCTCCTCTTGCAGCATAATGTACCTCTTCTTGACTTCTTTATCTGTCAGTGGGATAGAAGCTGGGGTCTACCAGAGTTCCTTTGTGGTTTTGGTCATGGTCTTATTGATTGATAAGGCCACTCTGGTAGGGGTGTCAGCATGCAGGATGTTGATAGTAGGGTCCAAATCCTCTGACACCCTCTCTGCCTGGACTCCCAAACTCTGAGCTAGGCGGCGAAGAAGTTCCTGATGGGATCTCGAGTCCATGCATGGCATGGAAGGGAGAGAGCCACCAAGCGTCTCATCTAGTGAGGAGGAGGAGGACCCTTTCACACCCAGCGCCTCCGGATGGCAAATTTGCGAGGGGGACTGAGAGACTACAGAAGAGACCACAGAGCAGGCTGAGTGGTGGGGTGGTGAGGGACCCCCTTTCTGGGTGAGGTTCCGGGGAAGCCTGATTCGGGAGAAAGGAAAGGCCAAACATAGGGGAGCAGGTCAGTGGCGTTGCCAAGGGAGGGGCCCCGAGAAGAGCAATTCTTGTCTAGATGGCCCCACATCCTGGCTCTCGTGGGAGGCCCAAGGGGTCCAGAAAGGCCACTGAGTCAGAGCCTGCACTTATGGTGGCTAGGGCTGCCGTAACACTGGCACCGGGGTAGGCTGAGGCCAATGCTGCTGCTGCTGGTGCATCGAGGTGCTGCGACCAATGGCCGAAGTAGTACTGGTGCGTGGTTTGAGACCTGGAGCCTCAGGACCACCAAACTGATTCCGCCTTGGAGTCTGTTGAATACTCTGAGGTCTATCACGGTGATCCGGTAGCAGTAGCAGCTGGTGACCTCCCAGTTGGAGTGCACTGGGCCATTGACTCTGGCTTCCCCCAGTGCCGAGGAGGAGGTGGAGGCATGGCCTGTGGAGGTGCTAGTGTGCCCAATGGAGAAGGGACGGCTTTCAAGGGACCCAGTGCTGTGGCTGTTGCTAACCGAGGCCCTTGTGCTAGTGCCAACTCCGGTGCCAGTGTGCAGGAAGAAGCGAGGGCTGCGGCCAATGCTGAGGCTGGAGATGGTGCTGCACCCGGGACCGAGGCTCAAAGCTACTGGCATGGGGCAGTGCAGAGGACCCCTCTTACTTCCAGGGCCAAGGAGCTAGGTGCCGAGGATGTGAGGCGGTGCCATCTAGATCCTCATTCCTTGGCCAGGTTCGGTGCCAAGGTTGGGAACGAGGTCAGCTCAATCAAATCTCTTGCTGCCTTAAAGGTATCTGGAGTGGAGGGCTCCAGGAAGACCCCCGCCAGACTGGTGTCTTGGCGCAGACTAGAGAGGTGCTGATCTGACCACGATGGTCCAGGTGCTATGCCAGTTATAGTGCTGCATGCCCCACTTGAAGGTGCACAGAGAGCACATGCCTCGAGGGAGACCTGCCCCTGCTAGGTCTTCTCTTCTTCTGGGACACCAGGGACTGTGACCGGTGCCATGGCCTGCACCGTGCCAAGTGTAAGGCCACCTCAGTCAGGATGAACTTCAAGCGAGACTCCCTTTCCCACTTGGTATGCAGCTTAAGGGCCTTGCAGATCTTACAGGCCTCGGACAAGTGGGCCTCTCCAAGGCATCTAAGGCAGGCTGTGTGAGGATCCCCACAGGGCATAGGCTTTGGCACTTCCGGGAAGACTTGGGGCCTGGGCATGCCCCTCAAGATGCACCGCAGACAGAAAGCAAGCCCTGCACCTGGTGCTTAACACTAAGTACTACACTTAACAGGTACTAAAAACTAGATAAGAACAATGAAGTGTAAACTTTTTAACTAACTACTAAAACAAGGAGAAGAACTGCTAAGAGGCAATTGCAGAGCAAGAACCAAGGAATGTTCCAAAGATCATCACAAGTGGTAAGAAGGAAATGAGGAGGTGAAGGGCCAACAGGGGTATATATTAGCTGATATATATTAGCCGGTGCTACTCCCAGGGGCTTCTCTGCTGTCCCAACAGGTACTACTAAGGGAAAACATTTCCAATGACACTTGCATGCACCATGCACACACCTACATGGAATGAACATGAGCAATCACTCAAAGAAGAAAAACTAAACTGCAGACTAGGATGTGTTGTCCCCCACACCCAAGGGTGCAGTCTGGCAGCTGTTAGAACCACTGTGTCCCCTAATAATTCATCTGGGTTGGCCTCTCTCACATTGCTGATGTCTCCTGTTTGTCCATAAGTGGCTTAGATAAAGCATTCAGGTAACTCAGTTGGGTGTGTGGCACCACCTGCTGTTGGATGATAAAAGGGCCCGGAGAGGCTGGCTGAGTCACCAGCAAAGCAATTTCCCAGTAGGGATGTTAAAATGCGATTAACTGACTAGTCGAGTAGTTGATGGAACCAGCAGGAAGTCCCACTTACTTGGGGTTGCATGCTGGTGCCTGCTTTGAAATGTACAAGAGTCCCCAACAAGGGCTCTTGTGCATTTAAAAGACATGGAGCCCAGGGTCGGCAGGGGACTCTGAGTCTGCATGCTGGGCGGAGCCTGGGGTCAGCTGCGGACTCCCCAGCTGACTGCAGTTCCGCACAACATTTCAGCAGAACCTGGGATCAGCTGGGGAATCCTCAGCTGACCCCAGGCTCCAGGGCTGCCCCTTTGAAACGCGGAGGCAGCATTTCAACAGGGCAGCCACTGCAAAGCTGATTCCGCTTCAGCTATGTGGCACTGCCCCGTTCATGCTCCAAAACAGCGTTTTAAAGGGGCAGTGCCGCACAGCTGAGCCCCGGGATCAGCTCTGCAGCGGCTCCCCCTATGAAACACCGCCTTAGGGTTTCAAAGTGGAAGTGCCGCACAGCTGATCCCTGGCACTGCCGCTTTGAAGGACCCCCTCCTCCTCTGCTGCCTCTCTCTGAGGCAGCAAGGGAGGGGAATCGACTACTCCTTAACAAACAAGCAAATGCTTATCGGACAGTCGACTAGTCCTTAATATCCTTATTTCCCAGCTGCCCAGCCTTGCACTTCTACTAGAGAATAAACCCAGAATTATATTATTTTGAATTGCACAGAGATCTATGCAATGCAAGATCATTAATATGTCAGGTTCTCACTCAATGTGAGGAAGATATGCAACATGTCTGTGTCAATCATGCTGAGATTTTCCCCAACACTTCACTCGAAACACATTGACTAAGATCAAACATAAACCAAGTTTAATAACTGCAGAAAGATAGATTTTAAAATAATATAAGTAATAGCAAACAGATGAAAGCAGATTACCTAGCAAATCAGCAAACGCATGCTAAACCATAATATACCAGCTATATGGGGTTGAATTAACAATCTCACACCCTAACTGGTGATACCAACAAGCGTGCAGATTCTTAAGGCATAAAAACTGTAACTATTTTGCATCTTAGGTTCCCCTCCCCTATTCCAATTCCTTTGTCTTCCAGAGCTTCTTTCAGGTGTTCAGTTGTGGTACAGTAAAGAAAAGCATGATGTTACTCCTCACCTTATATAATTTTGCCATACGGCAGTGTTCTGCCCAGTATGTGGAAAAATATTAGGTTACAAAATGGAATTTAATATCATAATGGTCTAGTCACATGTTCTTGCATGTTCCTAATGAATACCCATTGTCCATAGGCTGTCTGAAATGTTTCCGGGAAGACTCACCAGGTAGGAGATAAGCTTCTACTAAGATCTACTGTTTCCCTTAATGGTCCTCTACTTTGAGCAGACCCTTCACAAACAGCTGTCTAGACTGGAAGCATCTTGCCTAGTGGGTGTCATTCAGGCATAACCACATTTGAAGTAACGGTACATAGTCATTATTCCTATCTTTAGATAGAAAAATGATACATGCACACAAATAGGATAATCACATTCAGCAAATCATAACTTTTTCAGAGACACCTCACATAACTTTTATAAAAGAGGCATCATAATTATGTTATAATCAGATCATAATGATACCACTCTGATGAACATGGGGTGCAGTGCGTCACAGACAACACTGTGAGATTGAACATCATGGCAATTCCAAGTCAGTTTTGCAAAGCGCTCTAAAATTGAGACAATCAGAGCCATTTGAAATTTGGCATGCCAACATTTGTGCGTAGTTGGAGGTGTTCTCTTTTGGTAATCCTAACCTTGTTCTAATATCTAAGTAAGCAGATCTGTACATTTCCAGATCTGAATTTTGGGAATTAAGCTCTCATGTTCTGAGAAAGCATGAATTAATACCAGGTAGAATTGAGCATCTATAAAGTCTTCTGTGTGCAAATTTTACCCTTTGGGTAATATAAATCTGCTGGCAACTAAATTATTGTAATATCACACATTCAACATGACTTCACTCTCTGAGTTAGTCTAAATGAAGTTAGTGTGCAGCAAGCTGAAGAGTAACTCAACAGCACAGTAGCATGGAAGGCACTAATTGTACACATGGACATGAAAACTTCCTTCGTATATTCTTATTTACTCCCATTTGCTGTGTGATAGCAAAGACCACAGGGACAGTTAGTATGTGGCACATTAGAACACTGTCTATATATACTCAAGCTTGAGCTTATACAAAGAAACTCTCAAAGAATTAATAGGAAACAGAGATCTCTATAATTCTGTGTGTTCAGGTAATATCACCAACTAGAGTATGAGAAACACAGTGCTTCCCAGATAAGCTTTTCAGTTCACTTTTAAAAAAACAGCACTTAAATACTCAGTAAAATATATTATGAAAAAATGTTCTCAGTACCATACTTTGAGGCTTTCAATCTTAGTGAAAGTCCTTTTCAGTATTCTTTGACAAAAAAGTCTCTACATACCAGATACTGTATATTCATAAATTAGGGGGTTTCTTTGGAAGAATTCTATTTACTAAGATCCACAATACATATCCATTTAAAATTACAAAATCTTTGTCGCTTTACTTAGCAATCAGTCATCATTATAAAATGTAATTCAGCTTTAAATAAAAATAAATTTCCTTTTAATCTTATCCTGACTGTCCATGCCACAGATTTCTACTCTTAAAAACTCTTCGTGTAAAAAGCTTCATATAAGGAATTCCTGCAAAACACTTAAATGCTTTATACTACATATTGATATTTGTATGAAAAACAAATATATTTGTAAAACTTACAAAGCTTGGCTCCTTGTTCAAACAGACCTCAACAAATTCTTTGAGGGGTTTACTGTAGTTTCCTTCCAGTGTTGGTGGATTGTTCTTTGGGATGAGGAATAAAACCTTCATAGGGTGCAACGCTGAATGTGGTGGTTTTCCTTTTGCAAGTTCTATGGCTGTTATTCCTAATGACCAGATATCTGCCTGTAACACAAACAATCTTCATAGATATATGGGTAGAGGGTAGAGCATGGGAAAAAGAGAGAAACAACTTATTTTACAACTTTGTTGCAAATTACTGCTTTCTAGAGCATGATGTATTATTTAATCAAAAACCACTAACTTCCTTGCACCTTCTTCCCCTATTCTGTGTCTTCTAGCAAACTGTAATTGTTTGAACAAAACCAATATTCACTCATCTTATGCTTCATTTACTGAATGAAAATACTAATTAAAAATGACTGAAATCTGACTCTCTTCCATGGAACTCTGGGTTTCTACTCTTCATATAAAATATACCTATTAATCTCTTATTAAACAACCTACTGCATTCCACTTGAAGTTTTAACAAAGGGACATAGTAATTAAATACATTTGCTTGAGAAGGCCAAGACTACTTTCACTTTCACTACTTTCAGTTTGATTTTTGGAACAGTGTCCTTAAGGGAGCAATACACATGTGATAGCAGTATGTGATTAAGTACCACACCCAATTTGCATTTTATGTTATGATTAATAAAATACCACTTTACAATGATGATGTTGATTTGATTCTTGGACTGTTGGTTAACTGCAGTTAACTCACATGATTAACTCAAAAAATTAATTATGATTAACTGCACTGTTAAGCAATAGAAGACTAATTGAAATTTATTATTTTTGGATTTTTTTCTACATTTTCAAATACACACTGATTTCTATTACAACACAGATTACAAAGTGTACAATGCACATATTTTTGATTACAGCTATTCACACTGTAAAAATGATAAAAGAAATAGTGTTTTCCCATTCACCTCATACAAATACTGTAGTGCAATCTATCATGAAAGTTTAACTTTCAAATTTAGATTTTTTTAAATTACATAACTGCACTCAAAATCAAAATCATATAAAACTGTAGAGCCTATAAGTCCACTCAGTCCCTACTTCTTGTTCAACCAATCACTCAGCCAATAAATAAGTCTGTTTACATTTAAGGGAGGAAATGCTGCCTGCTTCATATTTACGTCATCTGAAAGTAAAAACAGACATTCCTATGGCACTTTTGTAGCCAGCATTGCAAAGTATTTATGTGCCAGATATACTAAACATTCATATGCCCCTTCATTCTATGGCCATCAGTTCAGAGGACATGTTTCAATGCGGATGCTCATCAAAAAAATAATGCATTAAATTTATGAAAGAACTCCTTGGGGGAGACTTATTTGCCTCCTGTTCTGTTTTACCTGCATTATGCCATGTATTCATGGACTAGCAGTCTCGCATGACCATGAATGACTTATGTTCATTTTAAGAATACTAACAGCAGATTTGACAAAATGCAAAAAAGGTACCAAAGTGAGAAGATAAGATAAAGATAAGTACAGCACTCAATCCAAGATTTAACAACCTGAAGTGCCATCCAATATTTGAGGGGGACAAGGTGTGAAGCATGATTTTAGAAGTCTTAAAAAAGCAACACTGCAATGCGGAAACTACAGAACCCAAACCACCAAAAAAGAAAATCAACCTTCTGCTGAGGGCATCTGACTCAGAAGATGAAAATGTACACTTGTCAGTCGGCTCTGCTTTGGATCATTATTGAGCAGAACCCATCATCAGCATGGACGCATACCCTCTGAAATGGTAAAGGAAGAATGAAAGGACAGACAAATCTTCAGGACATCTGGCACAAATACCTTGTAATTTCGGTTGCAACAGTGCCATGCAAACACCTGTTTTCACTTTCAAATGACACTGCAAAGAAGAAGCAGGGAGCATTATCTCTATCAAATTGTAACCAAACTTCTTTGAGCAACTGGCTGGACGTAGGACGGAGTGAAGCTGTAAGCCAGGGGTGGGGAACCTAAGGCCAAATGCCGCCCCTTGAATAGCCTAGATCTGGCTTCTCCAAGCTCAGGGCTCCCCCCAGCACTGGAGAGCTCATGCTGCCGCTCCAGCCCCCGCCAGTTCCTTCCACGGGACTGGAGCGCACAACATTTACTAGTTTGGGCCCCTCTAGGCTCTGGTGTGTAAGGGGAATGTCTTTCTGCTTCTCAGCCAGGGGCCATGTCAGTGTTTTTGGTTTTTTTGCTTCTCACTTGTGTGCAGCCCCTGACTGATTTCTGATTTGACCCCCGACCCAAAAAATGTCTAAAGTTTGATATTGTTTTATTTTTGAATGCAGTTATTTTTGTACATAATTCCACATTTGTAAGTTCCACTTTCATGATAAAGAGATGGCACTGCAGCATTTGCATTAGGGAAACTGGAAAATACTATCTTTTCTGATTGATACAGAGTAAAAGTATTTGTAATGAAAAATAAAGTGAACACACTATACTTTGTATTGTGTTATAATTAAAATCAATATATTTGAAAATGTAGAAATCATTCCAAAATATTTAAATAAATGGTATTCTATTAACAGCACAATAATTCATACCATTAACCACAATTAAATTAATGGCTTGAAAACCTTATTTAATTCATTTAACTCTTGTCAAAACCTGAGACCATCTACAAGGATCTAAAACAGCAAATAAAAATAAAATAAAATAATTAATTTAAAAAAAATTAAAATAAAATAAAATTCCTTAATACAACTAAAATACAAAGATGTTCAGCCTAGTTGCAATACAACTGAGCCCATGTAATAATGTAAAAAATTATAGCTCGGTATGTCCACAATCATCAGCACATAAACCCATAACATAACCAGTCAAGAAACCTACTACCTATTAATTTTATTTGGTGACCCCTAGTTCTTATGTTATGGGAACAAGTAAATAACTCATCCTCATTTACTTTTTTCCCCCCCACACCAGTTATGATTTTATAGACTTCTATTATATCCCCCCTTAGTCTCCTGAAAATATCCTGCATAGGGACTTGCAGAAGAAACGCCATCAAGACTACTTGATCTTGTGAAATACACAATTACTTTGCTTGACGAGGAAATACCTGCGCGAGCATAACAAATATCAATACAGGAGGCGATCCATGATGAAATTCTCTATGAAGAGACTGGGAGATAAGGATGTTATGAGGCGGGTAACTGACTAATCGTGTAGACGATAAAATTTGTATTGACTACACGATTAGTCTATAAGGGAAGGTGCTCTGTACTGGCTCGCGCCAGTCCAGGAACTATCCCTGGTTCAGCTTTGCAGTTTAAATGTAGTTTGAGCCAGTTGCGCAGGCAACCTGGCTCGTACTGCATTCAAATTGCAGAGTCACAGCAGGGGGTAGTTCACTGACCAGCATGAGCTGGGACAGTGTCACAGCAGTCCTGGACCAGCATGAGAAAAGCTTGCTCAGTCCTGGCTCACACCAGGTCCAGCAGCCCCTGCCTGCGGGGGTCCCAGCAGGGAGCTGGGACCCCTCACGGACGGAGACTGCTGCTGGAGCAGCCTCTGCCCATGGTGAGCCTGCTCCACAGCAGCCTCCCCTACTCCCTGCTGCCTCTGATAAAGGTAGCAGCGCGGGGTGGGGGACAGGTGGCACTGTGGAGAATGTGCTAGGTGGAGGGAACAGGCATTTAAGCCAGCTCCCCCCAGCATCAGCTCCTGTTCCCCTCCCTCTTGCTGCTTCTGTTACAGAGGCAGCTGGGGTGGGGAGAAGAAGCAAGTATTTCAAGTAGTTGACTACTCAATTATTCGCTTACATCCCTACTGGGAGACACTTCATTTGTCTGCAATGACCACATATAGTTGGGTTGATAAACAAAACTGTCTAGTCCTGTCCAAGAAGAACATCAAGGCTCTTTTAACTTCTGAAGTGCACAGGCATTGTTGCTTTCTAATTGGCATATGATTTGGGGTAAAATATATGTAAATACCTCAGCTGGTTAATATAACTGGATACCAGTTTAGAGAGAAATCTTGGATGAGCGCACATATACACCTTGTCCTTAAAGAAAATAGTTCAGACATCAGAGCATACTGCTCAGTCATCCTTCCAACTAAAGAGATGGTTATTAAAAACAAAGCCACCTTCAGTGACAGGTGTAACAAGAAACATGTTACTAGAAGCGCAAATGGAGGCCTCATAAGTTTTAACAAAACTAAGTTCAAGTCCAGATAAACTTGAACTCTTGGCCTTCTCAGGAAAGCAGATACCACTGTTAGACATTTTACAAAAACCCCAGGTCGAAAGGCTGCATAGTGAAGGAGTAATGAGTATTTCACTACAAATGAAAGCTATTTTCGGTGATCTTGAAAAATTGCCACATGAAAACAGAGCCCTGCGTGGATACAAATGTCTCTCTCTCCATGCAGATATCAATGGATATAAATCGGTATCCACTGATCCACAGAGTTCTACTCCCAGGAGATGCTGTGACCAAAGGAGAGGCGCATGATGATGATGCGCCCAAGAACCAATACCCTATGCCAGCAGCTCCTCCTGGACATGAAGCTGCATCAGCCCCAGCTGCATCTCCTGTCTGGGGTCATACCAATTCCTATCCACGAATATCCACATCCACAGGTAGACATTTGTATCTGCATAGGACTCTAAAAATAGACACTTTTTAAATTGAGGGGAGGTATAATACTAGCATCCAGGAAGGGAATAATGGATGCTGGGTGATCATGCAAAACTTCATCTTTGTGAGATATCTGTTGAGCTGCCACAGGTCTAAAATTGGACAAGCTTTCCCTTTGCTTTTATGATTTAGAAATAATAGTAACAAACCACTTCCATCTTGAAACTATGCAGAATATTCTGTATGGATCCTATCCAAAGGAGAGGATGAAGCTTGTGGAGAAGAAACTCCTCATGAGGTGGTCTCTGAAGAAGAACAGGGAGTGAAGGGCAGAAACAAACTGGGCAGTATATCCCACTTCCACAGTGCTTAAGACACATCAGTCTGAAGTAATCCAGGACTGTGCACTGAGGAAGTGGGAAAGATAGCTAGCAAGCATGAGGAAAATGGAATCTGGCATTCTAGAAAGTGGGGTGATGTCCTCAACTAACCACCTAAGACTTTAAAATTGTCCTAGAATCCTCAACTCCTGGGAGCTTTCAGTCTGTGCCAAAAAAAAGTGAAGACTACAAAAAGCAAGCCTTATATTCTTTGCTGGATCTCTTGCACAAGCCATGAAGCTTGCAGCCAAGAACTCTTGTGAATGACAACTGCAGAAGTGATGACTCTAGGAGCTCAATCTGCTACATCTAGTCCAGCCTGGAGGGAAATTTTGCTCCAAATTTCTGTTAATCATCAAAAAAGGAGAATTCTACTCTAGCATCATCCAGCAACGTGTGTCTATATTTTTAATATAGACTTGTAAATATTACACTCATAGGATACGTCTAGACTACATGCCTCGGCCGACAGAGGCACGTACAATAGGCTACCTGACATAATCAATGAAGCGGGGATTTAAATATCCCCGGCTTCATTGAAATAAAAATGGTCACTGTGCTGTGTCAGCTCAGCTGATCGTCGGCACAGCACACGAGTCAAGACACGGATCAGTTGACAAGGGAAGCCTTTGTTGACCGCTCCTGTAAACCTAGTTTCACGAGGCATAAGGGAGCAGTCGACAAAGGCTTCCCTTGTCGACCGATCTGCGTCTTGACTCCTGCGCTGTGCCGACAATCAGCTGAGCCGGCACAGCGCAGTGGCCATTTTTATTTTAATGAAGCTGGGGATATTTAAATCCCCGCTTCACTGACTATGTCAGGTAGCCTATTGTACATGCCTTTGTCAGCAGAGGCATGTAGTCTAAACATACACCTATGGTCCTAAAGGAGCTTGCTGGCTAGCAATTCTGAGTTAGAAAAAAAAAAAAACCTTTCTACAAAATAAATCTAGTTTCTTATATCTTTAATTTGGGAGGAGGGGTGATACTGGAATGCCCTTTCATTGGCCGCTGTGACTAACAGAGAAATAAGGATGAAAAAGGGGGAGTAAAAATATTAGAACCCCCAAGATGGAACAATGTTTACATTTGGATCTTTTTGAGGTGGGAAAATGCAATGAAGGAACCTGCCATTGTGACTTAGTAGACTTCAAAAAACTGCAATGATAATAGGTAAGCTCACCAGTATCAAAAAGGAAGTGGGAAGATTCCTTCTCCTCCAACTGAATTCCTGAACCTGAGTCAACTTGCACATCATGAGGGGATGAGATGCATCCCAAGAAAACTGCCTCAACAGGAAAAGAAAAGGCTGACGCCAGCTTACATTGAGGCTGTTCCTCCTATGCTAGTTATCAATTAGGGTCCTCCTTAACCATCTCTTTGTGCTCAGCAATGGGCCTGGTACGAGGTACAGGAACAGGCAGTGCCTAGCAAGTAAACTTCCCGTTATTCTCTGATGACAAAGAGCAGGAACACCTCATGTATGACCTAAAAATCAGGGAGGAATCCTCATGGGTTCCAAATCAGCCACTGAAACAGAGGAGAGTCCCATTAACTCCCTGGGCACATGTCCAATGCTATTCCAGCTAGAGCATCTCAAAGCAACTTAGAGAAGTAATATCTAAGTGTGGAGTAGTGTGACTGGCTCTAAAGCTGTGAAACGTAAGAGCCAAATTCCAAATCAGAGGACTACAAAACACATTCTGCTGATCAAGGGGGAGCTATTTCTTATGGTGCTAGAGCAGGGATCAGCAATCTCTCCTGCCCTGGGCCATGCCGCTCACCCGGGGGGAGGGAGGGAAGATCTCTCCATCACACCCCCCAGGGGACCACCTTAGTCAATGCAAACCTTTCCGTGGACTACCAGTTCCTAATGGAAACTCGCAATTAATTACATAATTACGCCCAAGCCATTTTGCTAGTGCCGTAGCTGGGGAGAATGGTTTAATTTAAAGTATTAAACAGATTAAGCATTTTAACTTTCTCATGTTAGTTTATCAAATTTCATTTTAAATAAAGTGAAATATGTACAATACAAAAGGTTTCAATAATTTATTTAGAGCCCACAGTAGAGGTAGGGAACTCTTTTGAGTCAGGGGCCATTGACCCACAGAAAAATCAGTTGGGGACCACTGAGCTCCCCGCTTGCGTGCTGCTTGTGCCACGTGTGGCAGGGGCTGACCCCTGTCCCAGAGACTAGTGCTGAATCAGCGAAGAGTGTAGAGCAGCCAGAACTGTAAGCACCCCATTCAATACTACCAATGGCCATGAAGTTTGAGGCACTGGATGTTGTTTCCATACTAACTACTGCACCAACAATACCTCCCTTCACAGATAGGCACACTAGTACACACAGGTTCACCAGATCTATGCCACAAACACCTCTTATGTATTTGGTGCCCAGATAGTTCCAGGTCACTCTGGTACCGTGGTCAAGTCCAGGTGACCCTTCAGGCCCTGGAGTTGACTATACTTGCCTCAAGATTGGAGTCAACATTGCTGTTTTAAACTACCAGAAAAGACTGCTTGGATTTTGGCTGCACTCTACTTTCAACCCTACGCTTAGAGGATTTTGATGACCAGAGACCCTTTACTTTCTCAGTTGTCTGTTTAGAGGTTTTTATGCCTCTTTTTATATACAGGAGAAGATGAGCAGTGCCAAGTCTTGGGTAGCATAAGAGATGCACTCCTTAACAACACTGAAGCGCTCATTGACAAGTCAGGACAGATAAATTAAAATAAAGGAGTTTATTTTGCAGATACAAAATTATATCAGTATTTAACATGTTTTCAAGATCACTGCTTTATATTCAAACTCTGTGTTTTGCAATATGGTAAAGAAATATGCAGTTAAACGCATGATATACTTGCTTTATATAGAAGGTCTGAAGTATGATCAGCACTTCCTACAGTCAAATTCTATAGATATCTGTTTAGTGTGGTAAGTCAAAAGAACAGCTAAAGTAAATTAAATGCAACTATGCATTACTACCTGAAAAAAGCTACAATTACGTTCAAGTCACTGGAGTAGATCAGGGGAAAAAAGATTTTAAGTGCACGAACAACAGCAGTTGTACATAAAATGGCCCCGGTGGGTCTCAGATTGCAACCATGTAATTCACAGCCTGCCCAAAGCATTTAGCTAATCTAACAAAAAAATGGAAAGGAAGGGGGCTCTGGATAATGCCTGGAAAAAGAGAAATCTATTCTAATCTTACCTTTGAGTCATATGCTGACTGTTTTATTACTTCAGGAGCCATCCAAAATGGTGTTCCTACAAAAGTATTTCTCTTTATCTGTGTATCTGTTAGTTGTCCTGCTACTCCAAAATCTGCTAATTTTACCTCTCCTTGTTCAGACAGCAAAACATTGGCAGCTAGCAAAGAAAAAAAGGCAGTTTAAAAGTTTACAGTTTCTAGGTTTCAGAAGTTTTTCTTATCTCTACTGTTTAAACATAACCAAAACTATTTAAAAATTATTAAAAGCTTACCTTTAATATCTCTGTGTATTTTCTTTTCGGAATGCAAATAATCAAGTCCTTTAAGTATCTCTCTCAATATTGTAGCAATCTGGGTTTCATCAAGACAGCCAGGCTCTAACTAGTAGAAACATGCAAGAAATATTTGTAAATACTTGTAAAGTAAAAATTTCAGAGATGACACAGAACACTAGGAACTAAAAATGCCACATGGTCTTGAAAATAAGTAAAAACTAATCAAAATGTTTTGATATTTTATTGCTTTTGATGCTAATTTTCTCTCTCCTTTGCACATAGTGTAATTTGCCTGTTCCTTTGTCTTTCCTGTCCCTTCTCTCCCCACCCCAGCTCTGCATAAATCTGCTTACCCAGGGAAAACAGTAACCTATATTCTAATAAACTGAGAAGAAGAAGTCACTCATCCTGTGCAGTAATGACTGTTCTTCAAGATTTGTGTCCCTGTGGGTGCTCCACTGTTGGTGGCAGGTGGTCTCAGAACTGCAGATAAGAGTTTTTCATAGCAGTTGTCAGTTGAGCCACGCGTGCAGTATAGGTGCCTCGTGACAATCATGCCATAGTGCCGTAAGTCACTGCACGTGTGGTCTGACCCTCCCTCAGTTCCTCATCTACTCCTGAGTAGCTAGGTACTCTGAAGTACACGGGAGGAGGGTGGATAGTGGGGCACCCATGAGGTGGGGTGGGGGTACGAGACATCTCGAAGAACAGTCATTACTGCACAGGGTGACTAACTTCCTTTCCTTCTTCAAGTTTTGGCTGCTCCACTGTTGACGATTACAAAGCAGTGACTGATCTGGACAGTGGGCTTCAGAGGCACTTCTTAGCGGCTAAGAACAGGACTGTCATGGCTGGTGTCAGACAGTGATTGAGATAGGATGGCATAATGTTTAGCAAACTGTATGCTCAGATGACCAGGTGGCTGCCTGGTAAATGTCTTTGAGGGCAACATTACAAAGAAATGCTGTGGATGCGGCAATGGCGTGGATGGAATGTGCTCTTGGAGGCACTGGTAAAGTTGTATTCTGTAAGATCACACACGATGTTATACACGATGATATCCAGTTGGAGATGTGCATACCCTGTGAGTGCTCTGCAATGGAAACAAATAGACGCCAACATCTGCAGAAAGTCCATGTTCTGTGTATGCAAAAGGTGAGAGCCCAGACATCCAACATACGTAGGATAGCGTCCTGACAAGATGCATGTGGTTTAGGATAGAAAGCAAATAAAACAATGGGTTCGTTGATATGTAACAAAGTGCAGACTTTCAGCAGAAAGGCAGGATGTGGTTGTAAAATAACTCTGTCTTTGGCAAAAACTGCATAAGGTAGGTCCACCATCAGAGCCCAGATCACACTGACCCTCCGGGCAGAGGTGATAGCGATTAAAAATGTTACCTTCATGAGAAAGGAGAGATGGGAACAGGTCAATATATGCTTAAAAGGAGGCCGCATCAGGGAGTCTAAGACTAAGTCTGAGTCCCATATGGGCGGTGGGGCCCTGTGAAAAGGGTACAAGTTTTAAAGCCCTTTAAGGAATCTTCTGGTGATAGGGTGCACAAAAAACATTTAACTGACTCACAGAAGGTTGTAATTGCCACCAGATGAACTCTTAGAGATGAAATTGACAAACTTCTAGTCTTTAGTTCGAGAATATAATCAAGAAGGATATGAGGTGGAGAGGTGCAAGGGTCGATCTGTCTTTGCATGCACCAGAAGGAGAAGCATCTCCATTTGTAGAGGTAGGTTGTGCAAGTGGAGAGCCTCCTGCTATGGAAACGGACCTCCTTCACCTGTTCAGAGGGAAAGGTTTCTCACCTGTGAAGTAACTGGAGTTCTTTGACATGGCTGTCCCTGTGGGTGCTCCACCTTAGGTGCATCAGCACCGCTATGCCTCTGATCAGAGATTTGTGATAGCAGTGCCCGTGGTCAGCTGCGTGCGCAGGATGCCAGCACAGGAGATATGAAGCAGCTACTCCGCATGCACAGCCGATCATCCTCAGTTCCTTCTGTGACCCGGATGCATCTAAGTCCAAATTCGAGGGGAGGATGGATGGGTGGTAGAGCACCCACAGGGACAACCATCTCAAAGAACTCCAGTTATGGCACAGGTGAGTAACCTTCCCTTCTTATTATTTGAGGAGTGTTCCTGGGGATGCTCCACCTCCGGTGATTACAAAGTAGTCATATTAGGAGGTGGGAGATTCGGAGGATGTGACACTGTGACCAAGAGTATTTTTCAGCCAAATTTTGTTTCCAAAACCGCAAATGTCCAGATAGCATAATGCCGCGTAGCTGGATGGCCATGTGGCAGCCTTCCAGATGTGTTCTGTTGGACCGCTTCATAGGAATGCAGTGATAGATGCCATGGCTCTTGTGGAATGAGCTCTTATGTTGGGAGGCAGCTCCTTTTGTGCTAATGTATACACCAAGTGTATTCAGCTAGATACCCATTCAAGTATCATAGAATACCAGGACTGGAAGAGACCTCGAGAGGTCATCAAGTCCAGTCCCCTGCCCTCATGGCAGGACCAAATACTGTCTAGTCCATCCTGAAAGACATTTATCTAACCTATTCTTAAATATCGCCAGAGATGGAGATTCCACAACCTCCCTGGGCAATTTATTCCAGTGTTTGACTACACTGACAGTTAGGAACTTTTTCCTATTGTCCAACCTAAACCTCCCTTGCTGCAGTTTAAGCCCATTGCTTCTTGTTCTATCCTCAGAGGCCAAGATGAACAAGTTTTCTCCCTCCTCCTTATGACACCCTTTTAGATACCTGAAAACTGCTATTGTGTCCCCCCTCAGTCTTCTCTTTTCTAAATTAAACAAACCCAATTCTTTCAGCCTTCCTTCATAGGTCATGTTCTCTAGACCCTTAATCATTCTTGTTGCTCTTCTCTGGACCCTCTCCAATTTCTCTACATCCTTCTTGAAATGTTGTGCCCAGAACTGGACACAATACTCCAACTGAGGCCTAACTAGTGTAGAGTAGAGCGGAAGAATGACTTCTCGTATCTTGCTCACAACACACCTGTTAATGCATCCCAGAATCATGTTTGCTTTTTTTGCAACAATTTTCACACTGCCAACTCATAATCAGCTTGTGGTCCACTATAACCCCTAGATCCCTTTCTGCCATACCCCTTCCTAGACAGTCGCTTCCCATTCTGTATGGTTGAAACTGATTGTTCCTTCCTAAGTGGAGCACTTTGCATTTGTCTTTATTAAACTTTATCCTGTTTACCTCAGACCATTTCTCCAATTTGTCCAGATCATTTTGAATTATGATCCTATTCTCCAGAGCAGTCGCAAACCCTCCCAGCTTGGTATCATCTGCAAGCTTAATAAGCATACTTTCTATGCAAATATCTAAATCGTTGATGAAGATATTGAACAGAGCCGGTCCCAAAACAGACCCCTGCAAAACCCCACTTGTTATACCTTTCCAGCAGGATTGTGAACCATTAATAACTACTCTCTGAGTTCGGTTATCCAGCCAGTCATGCACCCACCTTATAGTAGCCCCATCTAAGTTGTATTTGCCTTGTTTATTGATAAGAATATCATGAGAGACCGTATCAAATGCCTTACTAAAGTCTAGGTATACCACATCCTCCCTTATCCACAAAACTCGTTATCCTATCAAAGAAAGCAATCAAATTGGTTTGACGTGATTTGTTCTTTACAAATCCATGCTGGCTGTTCCCTATCGCCTTGCCACCTTCCAAGTGTTTACAGATGATTTCCTTAATTACTTGCTCCATTATCTTCCCTGGCATTTCATCAGGCCCTGGTGACTTGCAGGCATCTAACTTTTCTAGGTGATTTTTAACTTGTTCTTATTTTATTTTATCTTCTAAACCTATCCTCTGCCCCCTAGCATTCACTATGTTAGGCGTTCCTTCAGACTTCTCGGTGAAGAGTGAAACAAAGAAGTCAATAAGCATCTCTGCCATTTCCAAGTTTCCTGTTACTGTTTCTCCCTCCTCACTGACCAGTGGGCTTTGTATTATTAAACAAAGTAGTCTTTGTTTTATTATGGGTAACCCCCGTGAACTCTCTGCAGAGGATACGAATAGCCGTGGAGTCTTGCGGAATGCTTTTGTGCACTATAGGTAAAAAGCAAGTGCTCTGTGGACATCCAAGGTATGTAGCGCCACCTCCTTGTGGTCCTTACGTGGGCAAACAGGGGCAGCTAACAGGGAGTTTCGAGAGGGAGTTCTCCAGGTGAAGGAGGAACGAACACGGGACACTTGAGATAAGTGGCTGACTGTAGTGTGTGTTTGGGGGTTATATGCTAGTTGCCTGAAAGAAACTGTGTGTGAGCTTGTGTCTGTCTGTCTGTGTCTGTTTGGAGATTCAAGTGTTCAGCTGTTTGTTTGAAGAGCAATGTGCTGTGGCAGGCAGTTGGAAGCTGTGAGCTTCTTAAGGAGTACTTGAAATCTAGACCCCTCTGTTCATTGTTTGAGCCTTAGCCAGGGGGCGGGGCTATCAGGAAGGCCAGGACTTTATAAAGCCTGTGAGTAAGTGACCAGGGAGCTTTGAGACCAGTGGCAGCTAACAAGGAGTTTCGAGAGGGAGTTTAGAAGTGGAGTTGGAAGGAGGTGCCATTCTTTAAAACTTTTAAATTAAAACTAAAAAGAAAATGTCCTGATTTAAATAGAAACCCTGTGAATAACTTAAGTAGCTGTAGGAAAGAATGCAGGCAGAAGCCCAGCAGCAGAGATGGGGCTATTCTGTTTATTGCACTCAATGTGGCATGTATGATTATCTGCCCTATGGACAGGTGGCATGTGTGCATTCGGTGCAAGGAGCTCCTGGCCCTCAGAGACCACATATGGGCTTTGGAGGCCAGGGTGGCTGATTTGGAGGGACTAAGAGAGGCAGTGAGGTACGTAGATGAAGCTTTCTGAGACTAGAATTGTCCCACCTCCAGTCAGACAGCCCCTGTGCTGTTAAGGAGGATGAAAGGCTCAGGGAAGGAGAACATTCAACTGGAGCAGAGGAAAATGATTGCGTAGATGGGACCCTACTTCCAGAGGATGTTATGGTATCCTCTTGGACTGAGGATACATCTCCGGGGGGAGGGAACTCCAGT